GACAAACTGTGAAATAAAATAAACTCCACAAAACATCCATTCGTTACTGCTACCTTATGAAAACAATTCATGCGTTAAAGCAAGCAGTGAAAAATACGTATAGGAATCAACAAAAACTAAGGTATTAAGTATATCCTAGTTTATCTGATTACGAAAAATACCCGCAACGTGCCGTGGTGGTACTAATTTATAAGCCTGGAAAAGTCCTAATGAAAAATAATAAACCACTAAATCAAGAAGCCTTACAGAATAACTGTTGTTTTCTCTTAATAAGCATATGGAAGAAATTCCTACCAATCTACTAGAGTTTCGTAGTCGAACTAAACAGGGATTTTATAAAAGGCCGTTTAGGAAAATAATGTTGTTTGCTTAATTCAAGACCAGCTTTATACCGTTCCTTCAACATGGAAAGAGAATCCTCCACATAGGTAAGCATAAATTCATCAACGGTCTCGTTGAAGTAAATCTTACTTAACTCGTCCCTAAAGAAAAAAGAAGCTGAAATTTGAAATCTGCAGTTCTTTCTAGACGAAGTAAGCGTATCCGAATCTTACATCTAAACATAGATTTAAAAAAAAAACCTCCATATGATTCGAAAGAGACAACTATTGAGATTTTTACTGAGCGACAATAGTACCTGAGATCCGCTTCAAGCTTCTCCAACGGAACCAAATGAAATTCGAGAAAGTGAAGAATTTTTTCTAAATACATAGGAGAAGAATGCCGATACTTTACAGCAACTTTCGAGAGCCAACCATTGAATTCAAAATCTGTCATAAGATAATGCTGTAGTTGGTCGTGCTGGTTATAAAACTCGTTAATGAGCTCATAAACCTAAAATGTAACTAAAGTAAACCTATTCTGATATACGACAAAAAAGCCGTAGTACAAACTTTAACGGGAATGAAAAAACAACCAAAATTCAAAATAAGACCTTAAAAGGCTAAACAAGTTTGATGAAAAACACAAATGAAGCCTACTTTGTAGCAGTTTTATAACGTCTTTTTAATTTGTGATCCAAAAAACTAAAAGACCATAAGATATCAAATTTGAGAAAAAAATTTCTAAAGTCCAGTGCCAGAAAAGCTCCAGAGCATATGAAGAAGAAACTGTGGAAGATAAGCCGTAACAGAAACAATATCAGAAGCTAAAAGAAAAAATGAGAAAAAAAAACGAAACCGCGCTGAAAAAATCGTGGATGAAAAAGTAAGCGAAAGAGAATGTCAAAGTTGAAGAAAAACAGCTCAGTCAGGAAACTGGTTGATAAAAGAGAAACTATCATAAAGATGGCCAAATTACACCCATAAAAGAATACCTTTCTTCCAGGAAACTGGCATCCATAGACAAACCCAGGTCGTGTTGGAGGCGAGCATTTGAATAATTTTACGGTCAAAGAGTACTCACCATCCAATTTCCTACCTTCAATTAATGTCTCAAGCGTCATTGCAAGTGAAGGGACAGCCACCGGCAGAAGCTCACAGAGCACAGCCATATGGTCATAGCGCGACCACCCAGAAATAATAATACCCTGAAAAACAAAGATGTTTTATAAGCTAACAACAAAGCAGATGCAATTCAAATAAGCGCTTTTCCAGAAAACGTAAGATAAACTAAAGTAAGAAACCCTAACAAAAACCAAAAAATTGCGGAAGATCACCTGTATATACTCAAATTCTTGATAATTATTAGTCATTTGTTCAGTCCAAGCTTCATTATTGCGTATATAATGAATAGGGTTTGAGCGATACTGCATGGGTCCATCTGCACCTTTAAAAACTGACGCGCTCCAAACCTTCTTGAACGGCTGTAAAGAAGAAATAAAAAACGAGAAGCATCCCAAGATATTTAATACGCAGTGCTCATACTTTTAAGGTTGACCATGTGCTTGGGTACAGATACTGATCCAGTTGCTCTGCATAGGACCACAATACAGGCTCGACCAGGTCATTAACTTTGTAATATAAAAAATCATCTTCAGTTGCCTGCACAAGCATATCATGCCACGCCAAAACAGAAACCTAAGAATCAATTTATACGAACTCCCAAAAAAAAAAACGAAATTCTGAGACCAAAAACTTCGCCAGTAAAAACAAACTTACATCTTTTTTCCCGTGAATATATTCTGCAACACGAGCTATGTGCCACAACACCGCACGTTCTCTAGATCCTTCCCTATCCATCACTTTTAATGTACTATTGCAATACCCCACCTTAACGTAAAAATACTTTAAATAAATCTGGCAATTAAAACCAGAGGGGGGGAGGGGGGGTAATAATGTAAAGTAACCTGATAGACTTCATCGGCTCCCATGTGGAAGAAATTTATGCCAAATTTTGAATGCATTGTAAGGACTTCATCAATCATCTCTTTAATTAAATCCCATGATTCTTCTAACGCAAAACATATTACCTTAAAAAGATACCACTTGAAGGGAAAATCTTTTTATGTAAGTTTCTTAGCACCGCGCAAAGGCAAACTTTAAAAACAAAAAAGTAGCCTATTCAATTCAATTTTCACTTAATGTTAAGTACTTTAGCAAGTAACTTTAAAAAAGTTCAAACCAAACCGTCATAAGAAAGGTAATTTAATATATCCCAAGCCTGATACAAAATATTGAAAGTAATTTCTTAATCTAATAGAGCGAATTTCTAAACATTCTTCAGAAAAAATAATACTTGGGGATAAGCAGCTGCTTCTCGTAAATGGGCAAAATTTTCCAGTTTCAAAATCCACTCTAGATGCCCAAAAGTCTGCACTAGCGGGATAACTTCGAGTCCATGTAATTTTGCACTCGTTAGTATATTGTTGACCTAAAATATTCTCTAGATAAAAAAAGGCATTTCTGAAAAAAAACGAATAAAATCTTCCTTGCTAATGATGATATTTTCATTCTAAGCATAAAAAACAGTAAAAGCCCATCAAAACCACAGGAAATGTCTTTTTTCTCCAGGAACTAAAAAGACCACAGCAAGACAAAAAAGCTATAAAAAAACAAAATGCCCACATCTTCAACTGTATATGCATTGCCATTAATCGCAGTAGATAATCTGCCTCTATAGGGAAACATATCTTCCCACTCGATAAGGATGCCAGTAGCACGAAGATCTTTCAGCAGTTGAAAAATCTGATCGAAGAAATAAGGCTAAAAGAAAAAAAAGAAGCACTTGCCGTTTTTTAACTTCATTCTCATTTCACCCTCATTAAAAAGTCAGGTAGTACCTTATATGCTCCACCTTTCAAATCCAGATGAACAATCCGCCGAATTGGTATAAAATTTCCAATGGAATTTAGTAAAGGATAGGAAATACCATTTATGTACTTTTGACTTGTTTTCCTATGAAGGTAGTCAATGTTATCACAACGTCAACTGATAAATCACAAAAGAAATAGCTGTGTAAATTTAAAATTTTTTACTGTTAAAAATGTAGCCACAGCTGGCGCTTTACTCTTAGACCTTTAATAGTAAAAAATAGAAAACTTGCCGAACAACTGCAGAGAACTTTAATTCCATATCTTCCTTTCCAAATTTGTACTAAAATAAAAAGAAAAATAGAAGATAAATGCAGTTCAAAACGACTAGGCAAACTTCTTGACAAGATGGCAAATAATGAACCAGTTTGAAAAAATAACTTAATTTCCAAAGAAGCCTTCAACAAAGGAGACTATAACATACAGCGCCCAATATATACATTACTAGTCCATCTTCTCCAAAAAAATGCAAGAAATTTATATAATTTATACAAACTAACCTGACCACGTTTGATCTGAAAAACCTCCTTGCCAACGCCAACTTTCGTCCTCTCTTCATTTAGTGGCTTATCATCAACAACTCTGCGAGCAGGAGGATTATCAAAAATATCTATCTGCTAAAAAAAAAAACAAACTAATTTACTGTAACGCTATAATTAATCTGAGGGTAGGAACTCTTCCACTCCGTCATTAAATAATCAGTAAAATAATAACACTTCTATTAATGACCAATTCAGACTTCTGAATTCTTATTGAGAATACTGCACAACTTCTCTCGAAGAACTACCAACAATAATAAATCTAAATCAACTGCTACCAATAGACAATAAAATCCATCTATTGTCATTTCAAAGGTGATCAGCATAGCCAAAAAAAATTCCTTTTATCCGTACTTAGACGGTATCTCAGCAAAATATCAAAGAGGTTAAAAGATAACCTATTAAAGTAATAAATTATCAAACTTTAAAGCAAAAAACAAACACTCAAGAGTGGAAAAGCTACAACTGACCAGACATTAGAGTTATTTACTAAATTCAATGGAAAAAAGGATAAACCGTAACCGACAAAAAGTTTAACCGTAATTTTATTTGTTAAAAATAGTTTATTTATGAAAAATGCAGTTGGCATAAAACAAACCGCAGACTGAGGAGCTGCCCTTAAAGGAGGGGATGCGTGTAAGTGTGAAACAACTATCGAACAAGCAAGGATAAAAAGAACCAAGAAGAAGAGGTCGATACACATCCTCCGGTTTCCCGCACATCTCAACGTTCTTCTTAGCGATCTCGAGCATAACATCCTGCAAAAATAAGAAACATGCCGCAATAAAAATGGCAGTCAAGTTACTATTTAGAGACCTGACTATAAGATTTTAATTGAATACGATACTGCAAACAAAAAAAAAGCATAATAATCTAGGAGAATGACAAAAAAAGGACAACCTCACTTCTATAAAATGACGTACCTGAGCTTAATTTACCACTCCATTTTTGGCTTCATTAAAAAATACGAAGTAAATATCCCTGAAAGAATGCTCGTGCTACTTTAAACCGTTTAAAAAATGAACAAATCTTACTTCAAAACAAATATACATGCAACGTTGAATTCTGAATATGTACAGGGCGCGCAATCCTTACAGCACTCAAACTAATCTCGTGAAGGAAAGTGAAATCAGTGAGCATTCGCTGACGACGCAAAAAATAAAAGCAAAGTGACTGATGAGTAAAAATTAAATAAGAATAACAGAGAAATAAAATCAGAAAAACCTCACAGATACGATATCCTTGTTTTGCTCACAAAAGTGCAACGAAAACTAATCATGAATATATAACGAACCAGAAAAATAAATTAAATAAATAAATAATCAGGTGAAAAAACAATAAATAAAATTAATTACGTCAAGTTTAACAATCATATAAATAGAAAAAGCAGCTAACATAATTGTACATATAATGAAAATTTACAGAGCACGTGATACTAGTTGCAAAAAGCAATTACCTTTAACAGCGGTAACTACGCAATTTCAACAACACTTCTCTGTTCACAGATATTACAACATTTTCCACTAATAACTTTAGCTGTTTACCTCACCAAAACCAAGTTAGCCCAGAAAACTCTGTTCTCTTCCCTTGCTTCATTAACGGTACAGTCCGTCTAACGCTCTTCTTCAAAAACTAGTCTTTTCAAAAGCAAAATCAAACAATTCGATGCGCTTAAAGCAAAAAAAAATCACCCATAAGTCTTTTACTGTTACGAAAAGTCCCACTGGCTGAAACCGAGTATAACCTGTAAATTTATAACCAACCTTTCCAAGTTCTCCATCAGAACATTTATAATTAGGAACAAACCCTCGAACCTGACAGCCACGAACACAATGGGAAAAATTAACTGAGCCTATAAGTAAGGGGAATGAATAGACAAAAAGAGACATGAACAAACAAATAAACAAATAAATAAAGGCATGAACAAACAAACAAATAAATAAAGGAAAAATGTATATCTATTCATTTATCTACCTACCTATATTCTAAACCCTACTGGCCATGAA